CAAAGAAAATCACAGTCTAACCCTGAGTTAGGGGAAAGCATCACTCCTGACGCAGACTGTCCCAGAGCCTGGCGCTGGGCTCACGAGCAGGGCTATTAAAACCATATTTTTAATCAAAAATGGTATTTGATAATTTCAAAATTTATTCACATGATCATCCTAAGACAGGTCAGAACTACATTGAACTTCCTCTTGTTTAGAGTTTACAGTTGCTTTTATTGTGAATTACATGTTGCAGGTGGAGAAGAAGCCTCTTTCATAATCTTTTCATTACTTTGGCCTCCAAAAACCTTCAAACTGCCTCTGTGAGGCCTCCTTCCAGCATCTGAAAATTCTCTCACATCAGAGGGAAGAAAAAAAAAACAGCATTCTATTCTTTCTCAGTACTGCCAATTTAAGGTATGATTTCAGTAAAATCTCTAAGCCGTTGTGTGCCTTGCTTCCTGCAATAGGAAAGTGGAAAGAATAACCATTTAGCACTTCATGACTGGTGAGAAATAACTGGTGGTTAATGAATCAATGCAAAGGATTTTTTCAGATGCTGTTGTCTTACTAATGCCCCACTTTCATTCAGTGAAAGCAGAAGACCCAGGAGTAGTGGTGCTGAAGTCCGTTTAGGGACTATGTTGGTAGAGAAGCCAACTCTGATTGTCCCTCTTGCAGTGAGAGGACACCTGGGGAGGAGAGTGTGCCACCTTTACAAAGGCCCTTCCACCTGCCCAGGGCTTCCATGCAGCATCTGAAGCAGCGGTGCGTGTCTCAGCTCCAGCCCATCGCCCGCTGCAGAGGCGTACTTGTTTCTAATTACAGCAGAATCACCATAGGTGCCCACCTCCCTACAGTGACCACCTCCATAAGTTGACCTAATTTTCATACCCTGGACATGCACCACATGTATGCATCAGTATAGTAGGCCTAGTTCCTTATGTTGACCACCTCTGTATGCTGACTAGTTTGTTACAGTCCCTCAACTTATAGAGGTTCTACCATATTCAAGTCCACTGGAGCACTCAGGTTTTGCAAATAACCCATTTGCCCTCATTGACTCATTTGAAATTATCCCAGAACCAATTTCTTTTCATTTTTGAAAATAGTTTTTTCACGTCTTATTTTTTGAGCAAATACTGAGTATCATAGATTTTGTTTCCTTTCTCTGAAAGATGCTACTTTGAAATAGTTTCACGTCTTATTTTTTGAGCAAATACAGAGTATCGTAGATTTTTGAAATAGTTTCATGTCTTATTTTTTGAGCAAATACTGAGTATCATAGATTTTGTTTCCTTTCTCTGAAGGATGCTACTAAGCTATCTCCAGTTACATACTTGGAGATGTAATTTATTCCTGTGACTTCAAAAGCAAGTTGATAGTCACTCCAGCCATGACTCACCAAGTTTAGACGTTTATTCAAATATGTCTCTACGGCGTACTGAAGACTCATTCACTCAACCAGCATTTGTACAATGACCCAATGAAGCGCTCTGAGGATGGCCAGGGTTATAAATGCAAACGAAACATGGTGCCTGCCCTGAAGGGGTTCATCGTAGGAATATGACTCCACTGGGAATCTAATTGTAATTGACGCATTTTACTCAACATTTCCTACTTTTTGTTGTATTATTTTAAAATTCAAGATGTATAGGCAGTCCCGAAACGGAAATATATATTCTCTTATGTTGCTTCAACATCTCATCTCACTTCCTTGGCCGCACTTGGACAGCAAAAGGTTTGGAGCAGGAAGCACATGTCCCCCTCTCCCCTGGGAGACCAAGATCGAGGGGAGCAGCCATGACTGTGACTTGGAAGCCCTGCTGAGTCTCTAGCCCACCACTTCTCTGCATCTTCTTTTGATCGGCCCAACAAACTACAGCATTTTAAGCTCTTTCCTATTCTTCATTTTGTTTAAGTTTGGTTGACCCCACATTACAGATGAAAACACTGGGGCCCAGAGATGTTGAGTCACTTGCCATAAGGTCCCCAGCCAATAAATTGGAGCCTCAGACTCCAGGCCCTGGGAAGCTCTCCTTCAGTGGTTTAGCTGAGGCTTCTCTGACAAGTCTGGTGAATTCAGTCCCTCACAGTGGTCATGCCCTCAAATTAATCTGATCATTTCCACAAGTGTGCCTTTGACTTTTTTCATGATATAAGGAGAAGGCTTTAAGTTTTGAAGGCATTTATAAAAATAATTTGTACTTTCTTATCTTCTTTGCCTTAACCTCTGATCTAACTTTGGATGCTTTGGAATTTGCACAAGCAGATGAGGGAAGCCCCCCTCCCCTGCCTCCCCCAGGATGTCTAAAGGATAAAGAGATGAAGAAATGTTTTTAAAGACACTTTTAACAAAAGGAGATGGGGAGGGGGAAATGTCTGAGACCCTATTTCCCTCAAAAGTCAGGTCCTGCTTGACTTGTTAGTAAGCAAAAACTTGAATTCAAATATCATTCACTAAAAACAGTTTTCCCCAGTGAAAGAGCAAGTGGTTTCCTTGAGTCTTCAGTAAATAGGGACCTTCAGACATGAACAAAGAATGATATTTGGGAGCTAAAAGTAAAGAACCAATGAGTAAATAGGAAGAATTTGCAGTTTCCCAATGAAATAAATGAATTTCTCTATCTTTACCCTTTCCATGTTCCTCTTAAACTGAGCGGGCAATCTAAATTGAATGCCAGAGTCAACTGTTAGTACCTTTCTACCATCACTCCACATTTACTGAGAAAACACAATCCCCCTAAATATGGTTGCCTGGAAGGGCTCCATGAAATACTCATTGCCATGAAAAAACTACCTAGTACCCACTATCAGTGGGGTCTGTCTAGCCTGTGTTAGACTCCAACTGAAATCAATGAGGGAAATTAAACCCTTTTTATTCACAGGTGTACATTTTTTGTGCAATTATATGTAGGTGGTTAAAAACGATATTCAATAGACCCCATACACAATCAAAATTGAAGGAAAATCAGTTGCTATTTAGCATAACAAGGAGGAAATGCAAATTTAAGGAAGAAATTTTCATTAGTACATTTCCTTGGTGAATAGGTATTAAGACAGATTTGAATGCAAGGTACCCCACAGTTTGGGGAGCACTACACATAAAAAGTATGAGTTATAGCCAAATTCCTCTGCTGTGTTTTGCTTCTAGTCTCTACCCCTTATAAGCCCATGAAGATAAATCCGGAAATATTTTTTAAATACACATTTGGAATCAGCCTAACCATCTTGGTGAATTGCCTCCACTGCCCTTCATTCCCAAGGGTCTTTGTTTAATCAGACTTTTCTTTCTTGAGCAATATTTGTTCCATTTATTCCCACACCTGAAGTCACAATCCTTTGTCGCAGGACGATCATTTCTACAGCACCCAACTGTGATGTCACATTTGAGGGGGAGAGGACTGTTCCCAAAGAAAAGAGAAATGTGCTCTTCAGTCTGAGGTTTCTGGGTATTGAAGCCATCACTTTAGTAATCAAAATATTTTAGCAGAAAAAACCCCGTGACAAAGCTGCATTGCTTCAAAGTCTGGGCTGTGACATAAAAAAACATTTCAACAGGAGTTTCCAGGTTGCATGTGGTGGGTTTGAGAAAGGGTAGAGATTTTATTTCATTTCACTTTAATTCTGTGCCACTGATTTCTGCCAGTAAAATACATTAAACATATTCCAGAAAGAGTTGATTTAGTCGATGAAAAATGTGTCTCCGGAGACCAGAGAAGGTACCTTTTCTGTCTTGCTATGGTTTCCATAATAGGAACAATGTTTACACTTCCTCAGCCCATGCAGTGCTCTGATGGATTCGTGTTCTTTCACTCTCCAGAGGCAGGAATTGAGGTATTTGAGATTTTATTTTTTAGCTACTGCATCAAGCACTTAAGATCTGGCAATTGTGATGTGTATTCTCACTTGGTATTAAAAAATAAAAAAGCTCCAGCGTTTGCATCTGATGAGAGCTGCTCAGCTTGGTGGCTGACTAAGCAGGAGCAAGGCGAGCTACTTTCTTTGGAAGCAGCATCTTGGTTAATGGAGTGTAAGTTCACGGACGGGTGTAGTCCCATAATTTTTATTAAATTGAAGAGATTAGCTCTGCTGAAGAATCTCACTGTGACAACAAACTCTAGGCACAGTAATGGAATTTGACACCTCTCACACCCACTACTGGGCCCCAAATGGTCTTCTTTCTAAATATTATTTCCATTCCAGTAAGGAGAGAGCCTCATTCAAATATTCAGCCTATTCACCTGAAACTGAGTCTGCATGGGTTTGTTTTCTGAGACGGATGAAAAATCAACATAAGTATTTCTTCTTGTTGTTGTTGTTACAGTTTTTGGCCAGGGCTGGGTTTGAACCCACCACCTCCGGTATGTGGGGCAAGCGCCCTACTCCTTGAGCCATAGGCGCCGCCCAGCATAAACATTTCTAATCTGTACATTTTAACTGTTTTCTCTTTAAAAATAGCACACTCTCTTCTCTCTCTTTCCTGTTTCTTCTTTTCCTTCCTCTAGTTGCTTAAAATGCAAACATATTTTTTTCCAGACCGAGGCCCTGGTGCCCCCAAGGAGGTCTTCAGAAAAGACCCCAACCCCAAAGTTTGAAGGGTTGTGTGATTTGTTCATTTAACACACATAAAATTGTTCCTTCTTCCTCCAAACTCAAAATATCTTGATTATCTCAATTCTGTGAGGGGAAAATTGAAAGACAAGAGAGAAAGTGAGATAAATGACTTTTGAAAGCCGAATCCTGCCATATTCCGCAGAGGGAAGCCGAGTAGATAGTGTGTACCGGAGAGTGCGAAGCACTTTTTCAGAACACAAAGAAGTCTACTTGTATACCTCAGGGCGGGGTGGGGCTGGGGTGATTAATTAGTTCACGTTTGGCAAGCTGAGCCTTGAAGACAAGCTCTGCAGAGGTGCTGTTGTCACTTATTACTGTTATTAATTAACAGGGTGAACGCACGCAAAAATAACCCGTGGTGTGCCTTCCTCTCCTGACACCATATGCCATGTCTGTTGCAGGAGTGATTCGGGAAAGTTACCTCAAAGGCCACGACCAGCTGGTTCCCGTCACCCTCTTGGCCATCGCAGTCATTCTGGCTTTTGTCATGGGGGCCGTCTTCTCGGGCATCATCGTGTACTGTGTCTGCGATCACCGGCGCAAAGACGTGGCCGTGGTGCAGCGGAAGGACAAGGAGCTGACCCACTCGCGGAGGGGCTCCATGAGCAGCGTCACCAAGCTCAGCGGCCTCTTTGGGGACCCCCAGTCCAAAGACCCCAAGCCGGAGGCCATCCTCACACCGCTCATGCACAATGGCAAGCTGGCCACGCCCAGCAACACGGCCAAGATGCTCATCAAGGCCGACCAGCACCACCTGGACCTGACGGCCTTGCCCACCCCGGAGTCCACCCCGACACTGCAGCAGAAGCGGAAGCCCAACCGCGGCAGCCGCGAGTGGGAGCGGAACCAGAACCTCATCAACGCCTGCACCAAGGACATGCCCCCCATGGGCTCCCCCGTGATCCCCACGGACCTGCCCCTCCGGGCCTCTCCCAGCCACATCCCCAGCGTGGTGGTCCTTCCCATCACGCAGCAGGGCTACCCGCATGAGTACGTGGACCAGCCCAAAATGAGCGAGGCGGCCCAGATGGCGCTGGAGGACCAGGCTGCCACCCTGGAGTATAAGACCATCAGGGAGCACCTCAGCAGCAAGAGCCCCAACCACGGGGTGAACCTCGTGGAGAGCCTGGACAGCCTGCCCCCCAAAGTCCCCCAGCGGGAGGCCTCCCTGGGCCCCCCAGGAGCCTCCCTGTCCCAGAACGGCCTGAGCAAGCGGCTGGACATGCACCACTCCTCCTACGGGGTCGAGTATAAGAGGAGCTACCCCACGAACTCGCTCACGAGAAGCCACCAGGCCACCACGCTCAAAAGAAACAATACTAACTCCTCCAATTCCTCTCACCTCTCCAGAAACCAGAGCTTTGGCCGGGGAGACAACCCGCCCCCCGCCCCGCAGAGGGTGGACTCCATCCAGGCGCACAGCTCCCAGCCGTCTGGCCAGGCCGTGACTGTCTCGAGGCAGCCCAGCCTCAACGCCTACAACTCACTGACCAGGTCGGGGCTGAAGCGCACACCCTCCCTAAAGCCGGACGTTCCCCCCAAACCTTCCTTTGCACCCCTTTCCACATCCATGAAGCCCAATGACGCGTGTACCTAATCCCAGGGGAGAGGCTCAGGTGTCGAACCAGCAGGCGAGGCGAGGCGCCCGCCCAGCTCGGCAAGGCTCTCAACTGCCTCGAGTACCCACAGACCAAGACGGCCCGCGGCAGAGCTGAGGACGCTGGGTCCTCCCCTCTGGGACACGGGGTACTCACGACAATTGGGCCACGAGGTTGGGTGAAGGTTTGTGACAGCGGGGACTCACCTCCATCCTCTTCCTTCACTCTCCCCCACACCCCACACCAGATCGGACCCACAAAAGACTTCAGTTATCATCACAAACATGAGCCAAAAGCACATACCCACATACACACACCCACACACACTTCACACCACACACACAGGTGAACAACAACTGCAACGTTCTGTTATGTCCAGGACTGCACCGGCGTTGCCAAACTGGGCTAGCGCCCCAGACTTGCAAAACACAAATACATGTTAAAAAAAAAAATCATGAAAATCTAAAAAGACAAAAAAATAAAGAATTCATTGATAATTCTAACTCAGACTTTTAACAATGGCAGAAGTTTACTATGCGCAGATACTGTGAAACGCCCACCAGTGTTATAGCTTTCTGTTCTAGCATTGGAAGGCCACGTTGGGGAACTATGTCATAGGTTCTGCCCCTCCTCTCTCTTAATGAAATAACGTGACCGTTAACGCAAGTAACTCTTTATTTATTGTTCACCCTTTTTTTTTCCTTAAGGAAAGGACTCTTCCACATATCATCCTCTGAACGGCTCTTCAGAAAGCCCATTGAAAGTTAAACTATTTAACGGGAAATCCATTAACTGGAATAATTGAGTTTCTTTATTTTTACAATAAATTCACTGAGTAAATAAGTTGGAGCTGGAATTCTGAGCTTTGTGTTTGGACTGTTTGATCTGTAGCTGAAGGAAAACGTTAAGAGGGGAATATTTATTTAAAATCGACCAGTTTCTTTGCTGGTCAGGTTTCTGGCCTATAACATGCAAAAAATTAATTACTTTAAAGTCCTTCCAGATATCTAACTTCTGAAGCCACCAGGAGCGAAGCTTTTAGAATGGCACCCTGTGTCCCACTGGTGCCAGCGATGGCTTGGTCCGTGGTTCCCACTGTCTCTGTGAAGGCACCAGCTTGCGATCCGCCATCTCATTTCACCTTGCATGTGAGACAGCAAACAAAATCCACAAATGGTGTGAACTAATTACCATGCTGGCTGCTACCTTGCATAAATTAGTGGTTTGATCACACGGGGTTTTTCGTGGGGTTACATCTGTGAATAGCCTGTTTTCCACATGTAAATTTGTGCCTTACACCTTGAGTTGTGTACACTTGTAAACTGTCATTATGATCAACTTTCCCCCCCTTTGGACGTAAATGCAGATATTTATTTAGCCCGCCCCTCCCCCTGCCCCCACTCCAGCCCTCTGGAAGAGCAGAATCAAGCAGATGGAAAAAGAATGCAGTGGTGATGGCTGTCACGCAGCAGCCTGGGAAAGCCAGGCAGCCCCACGCCCTCCAATTCACGCTGCCTTCTAGTTGTGCCAACTCAAACCACCCTTCAGCTGTGCCGCCAAGCATGGACCCCAGTGTTGTGGGTGGAAAATCCCCCTTCTTCCTCCAGAGCTCCCCGCTTCCCTTAGATCATCTCAATATGGTGATAGCCTCATTAGCCGGCATGTCCCCATCCTCATTTCTCCTGTGTCCCCTGGCTGGAGAACACGCTGTGTGTGGTTGAGAGGCACCTGGGAGGAGTCTCCAAGCCCAGCGCTCTTGTGCAGTGCACACACAGAGACATGGAAATAGATGGGGGCAGGCTGGTCCCTGCTGTGATAAATGAGTAACTCCAAGTACAAGGCCAACCACAAAGGATGCTGCAAAAACTGGTGATGGGGCAAAAGATTTTTTATTTTTGTTATTTTTAAACTCCTTTACCCTTTTGTTATTGTTCGTAGGGGATGGGAACCCTTGGTTTTCATTCGCTCAAGCACACAGGAGAAGGGGCTTTTGTTTACTCTGTCAGGAACAAAAGAATTGTCAACATACTATAAACTGTGAGCATTGTTATTGGTTTTTGGTTTTTTTTAACAGTTAAACGGTATATGTGGTGATCTCTTTGTCTCTTTTTATTTCCAGCTTGCTCTGGGTTTAGTTATGTCACATTAAAAGTTGAAAAAAGACTGATGAGGACAGTTTTGAGTTGGAAGCAAAACAGTGGTGCCTCCGTAATCAGAGTGAGACCTAGGTGTGTAGCTGAAGGTGAGCGTGCAGCCCTCTTTCCCGAAACCCATTACAGTTTTACTTCCGTTTAGGGTAGGTTTTTCTTACACTTTGGTTTTTTTGGTGGAATCAATGTTCACTTCCTATGAACTCTGTCCTCTGAAACCCTGGAAGTCTTTTCTAGAAACTGAAACATTGTTTTCCTCCTTGAGTTTTCTTGAGAAATGCAGAAGTTAGGAAGATGGGCACATATCACCCTGTTCCCTTTTCCCCCATGCCTGACACCTAGGAGTATGGATTGTGCAGTGTCACTGTCCACACAGGGACTTTCTCGTCCCGGGTCTGTGGGCGTCATTGCCTCTGCTGTGTGGAGAAGGCCGGTGTCAAAACTTCCCCCCTACATCTGTACAGCCCACAGCCCATCACCTGCGGTGTTAACCCTGAAATGCCCACTTGTATTGAGCTGGCCTTCTGCACTGAAGTATCCCCCCCTTTATTTTCCCCACAGTGTGTGGGGGGAGGGTCCATAAACCCGAGTGTGCCTTTGCTTTCCACCCTTGCTAGACACTGGTAGATGCAACAAACTCAGAGTTATATTTGTTGTAAAGTTGTAAAAATATTGTGATGTCACCGATTTTTCTTCCATTTCCACATCCCCTAACATCTGATTCACCACTTAATGTATGTTTTAAAAAAGGAAAAAGGAAAAAAAAAAAGCAAGGAAAAGGTTCTTTATTACTTAAAAGTAATAAAACCAGACTGTTCTACATTATCTTTTGTGTCCTGAATACTTTTATTTATCTCTTAATTTTCCCTTCTTTAGTGGCTCCCGCCCAACCATGTTCAGTATGATTCTCTCTCCTTTACCTCTATCTGCTTTTCCAAAGCATAAGCAACTATGTAGTTAGATGTATTTGTTTGCAACATCCACACCCCCCACCCCTCCCCCAAATTATCGATGTCTCTCTATGCTTACACCCAGCCCAGAGCAGAATTTTAGCAAAAGCCACCGGTAATTAAAAGGCAGAGCACGAATTAGCTCCCTCTATTCATTTTATGCATTTTCTTTTTATGGGCTTGTTCATCATCAAACATTTATGGTAGGCTTGATAGTTTAAGAGATCAAGGCTAGGATTTTAGTATGTAAGGTCCACTAAAAATAGATCCGCGCACAGATGTGACTTAAGCCTTTTTACATATTAATAAGGTGCAGGGGGCCGGCTTTTATTCCGGGTTAGCATTTATCTCCTGTAACCCAGAGACGCGGTTGGAGGTATATTGGGATGCAGCTCTTGATTTCTGTTTTGCAAACTAGCATTGTAAAATGCCTAGATCAAGTTTTCCCCTTCAGGGTATTTTTAAAACAGTTATTTAAATAAGTGCTCAGCTATGGCATTTTACTTGTGACCTTCTGCAATAATTTTTTTAATATTTTGTAGGTCAGTTTGAGTGTGGGAAGCTGCTGGCTGAGGCCTCAGTTCGAACCTGTCATGGTTTCTTGGCCTGGCCGGTTACCTTTCCCTAAGTCATTTCCAATTGTGTTTCTTGAATTACATCCATAATGCCAGACACTGGCAGGCACAAAGTTAACTACTGATGCTGTTTATGCCTCCACATTTACAAAGAGATTGGCGGGGCCTTTGTAATTACCATTCAGAAGTGAAAGCAAAATCCTAAGGAAGCTTCCCAGAGTTTGGGGTCAAAGGTAAAGGTGGGGCTGGTGTGTGCAGAATGGGACTCTGACCAATCGCCCCAGCAGAGGGGATGACTTGTGCAAAGGCGCTGAATTTGCTGTTCGTGCAGGGTCTGTGACAGCCTGGCAGAACCATTCTGGGAAAGGGGTGAGGACAGACCTGGAGGGACCTAGGATTTGGGTGATGGGCATGGGTGTCCACCTGGATTTGGGGTATATAAAGCAAGAGACACAAGTGTAATTTAGAAAGTTACCCAGTGGTGACATGAGAATCAGACTGGTTCTGGGAGAGGCTGCTGGCCAGCCAGGCTGTGCACCAAACGATGTGCCAGGTAGGGAGGAGTCATGCAAGTGAAAACCCACATCCCATTTCAGATTCTTTAGGAATCAGCTATGTGACTGGATTCTCTTTTGCCAGACAAAAGAGCTTCATCTTATGTGATTGACAGGTCTGCCCTGCCCAAGGATACCCAAATCTCTTACCATAGCATTGAGAGAATGGCCGGTGTCTAATCCGACTCTTGTTTTAAAAATGTGGCAAGCTGAGATCCACTGAGTGAAAAGATTTGCCCAAGACCCAAAGCTAGTGTCAGAACAGCCATTCTGAGGACAAATCCATTGTCTCTTACCCCCATTCATGCAGATGCTTGAAACAAAACTATCTAGAAAGGCTTGGCCCCCAGAGCAGCCAGCATCTCCGTCCCTCTCCATCCTCCTTGCTCCCAGAAAGCTCCTCACTCATACACACCCACCCTTCCCCAGCTGGGCACCCCAGATTCCTTCATTTGGGCCAAGGCAAATGGTGGGCAGAAGCTTGGATGGCGTGAGTTTAAAGCAAAGAATCCCTGCAGTGCAAGCTGATGCTGAGTCTGGTGGCTTTGGGGGCAGTCAGCTTTGTGCTAGTCTGGTGTAGAGGCTCACTAGACGTAGCCAGCATTTTACCTGGGGCTCCGGGGATGGCCCTGCTCAGACACAAAAATTGTCTCTGACAACCCATATTTTTAATTGTTATGTTTGTTTGCTTGGCTTATTTTTACAAGGTTGGAGGTTTCTACAGAATAGACTATTATCTTAGACTATTATCCCTTAAGGACTAACTGTCCCAGGAAAGCCAGTAGGCTAGGTGTTCCATGAGGCCAGCGCAGACATCTTGAACCTGACGGTTTCCCTAAGTGCTATGTCAGATAAATAGAGACTGGGTTCATTGTTCTTGCACAGGCCGAGGGAGATGCCCCAGAACCACAGGGCCTAGGTTTTACTACCTGAACAAAAGCTCTTTCAACAAAAGTCATTCAGCAAGTGGAGGTGTCAGAAAGGCATCTCCAGTTTCAGACACTGGTGCATTTCACTTGAGGAAAGGGAGTGAGGGGAATTTAAAAGAACCCTTTAGTAACAAAATAACGTGATTAAGAGCATAATCCTTCTCCTGGCTCAGCACTGTGACAGCTGGGTGCTCAGACTCAGTAACCCTTAGAAACCCACATCTCATCTTGTCTTAAAATCAAGTGGTGACGTGTCTCTTATACAGAAGTGGGAAGAAAGGGCTCACATTTATTGATTGGGACTGCCAGACAGATGGGGATCTTCAATATTCCATTTAGAGTATTATATATCCTTAGCTCTACCCTCCACCCCCAGGATGCTTGGATGTAGGGGGTGGTTGACCTTAACAGAGGGTTAGGGCTGAACCAATGTGCATTAAATGAGGTTGGGCAGGAAAATGTGCAGATGTCCCTCCAGTAAATGGAAATGAAATTTGAGCAAATCAAGAGAGGCAGCTGAGTAGCAGGGGGCGGGGGATTCCCATCCTCCTCTGCAAACACATCCGCACACATGTGCACACACAAATGCTATCATGGGGCTTTTTCCTCTTGGTGTATATAACCAAAAATGTCACTGAGGTCGGAACCCATGCCTGCTAGAAGCGGCCTCTTTTAGAGTGCTTTCAACCCTTTTCTTTCTTTCTTTTTTTTTTTTAGAGACAGAATCTTCACTTTGTCTCTCTCAGTAGAGTGCTGTAGAGTCACAGCTCACTGCAACCTCCATCTCTTGGGTTTAGGTGATTCTCTTGCATCAGCCTCCTAAGTAGCTGGAACTACAGGCACCAGCCACAATGCCCAGCTGTTTTTTCTGTTGCAGTTTGGCCAGGACCAGGTTTGAAGCTGGCAGCCTACTGACTGAGCCAGAGCCACAAGCACTGCCCCCTATTTATGTGACTTGCACCTAAGCACTCCCTGTTCAAAAGTGAGCTACCATAAAGTACAGTTTCAGAAATGGGAACCAGTGTGTTTGCAGGCAAGCCTGGATGCAGGTCCCCGACAGCCTAATGACACTGACTGGGTGGCTAACAACTTTATTCTTCCTAATCACCTTCAGATAGAAGACTCTCTTGAGAATCATTAACATCATTTCCAGAGCAAGTCATCAGTTCTGCTAAAGGGCTGCAATAATGCTCCAAATAAGGGGAAGCCAATGAAGGGGAAAGTAGGTAACCGTGAAATCAGAGGCATTTTTCATTGATGGTTTTCGGCAGAAAGAAAAAGAAACCAATATGGGTGACATTGGACAAAATATCTAATGCCAGAACACCAACCCAAGGGAAACTCAAGCAGGACTCCCAGCAGTTTCCTAGGATAAGAGAGATGATGAAAAATCCATGAGGGAGTCAATCCGTCTATTTCTCCTGGTGTCTCTGGACAACTGCCCTTGCCCTGTGACGGATGGTGAAAAAGTAGGCTATTCTCCCCAAACTTAGTATCAGTTCTCTGGTGTGAACACTGAACCTTTGCACATCTAGTTCCATGTCAATGCCAAAGTGTGGATTTCAATAATACAGCTAAAGTGTATTTAATTAAAAATGAAAAGTAAAATGGCACCCCGCAGAGAGGGGCAGGGCTGCCGACTGTCAGTAATAACAGCATCATTCTGGGCAGCCTTTCATAACTGCAGGCATCACCTTGCCGGTTATGTTGCTGGGTCCTCATACCAGCCTAGAGAGGTAGGCAAGATGTATAATAATTATCCCCATTCTACAGAAATCAGAGTTTGGAGAGAAGGGATCCGTTGAGCCCTGGTCGGCATAAAAATGTAGTCTCGTTTCAAAAACCTATGTGTTGACATCACTCCCTCAGCTCTCTTGGGGACACCTCAGATTACACAATTACTCTGCTTCACTGGAGGGGAAGAGCCTCCTACAGCATTTCCCAGGAGAGATCGTTACAACAATAAAGTCCCCAAAATAAAGGCGAGGTGCACACGTTCTATTTCCAGCTCATTGTGCTCTAATATTTTTCCATCATTAAAGAACACATCTCTTCCTTCCTGCGTCTGCCGAGCCCTGATGCCAGTGGTGTTATTAGGAGCTGTCAACAGAGCAGGGAAAGAGGAAGCTGAAGCCAAATTCAGTGACCTTCCTTCTCGAGGAGCACCCTGCCACTTCAGGGCCACGACGCAGGCTGCCTCCGTCAGGGGAAAGGACAAAAGCCTCAGCTTTTGCAGCTGCTCCTTCCCCCTCAAGTCACAGAGATTACAAAAGAAACGTAAGAAGCTGGCAAGAACCTGGGATGAATGGGGAGCAGAGAGGAAGAAATAGCCTGTACCTCAAAGGGGAAAGAATTTGCCTCGCCCTCTCTGCACAGAAGACATAGATAAATTCAGTGTGAAGGACAGAGAGAGAGAGGAAACCCCCACTGTTATCTGTTCATGTCGGCCCAAGGCCACATTGGCACCGTGAGTACCAACTGAGCAACCTTCACCCCTGATGTCAGTGGTTGTATGATTTAGTTGAGTACCTAGAAAATTCTTCTGGCAGGAGACAGATGTAGATCACCCTATCTAGGGACCTGTCCTCCTCCTCCCCCATATCCCATGTGGCTGCCACCCTAGACTCACCCTCTTGGAGTTAATGAGCTGAGAGCACATGTGGTGTTGGGGGGGCAGTGCCATCTCTGGAGGGGGCACCCAGCCTCCCTCCTGCCCTGGGAGCAGTGTGGCCCAGCCAGTC